TTTTTGGAAATTTTGTGCAAATCCAGTAAGATTTATAAAGGGAAACAAAGACTTTGACTCGCAAAAACTTCCGGACCCAGATGCAGTTGAGACATAATTTTAGGGAAGCATACTTTGAACAGCCGTCAGATACGAGCAAAAATTTCATAAAGAATGCATTTCTCATTAAGTAAACCAATCATACCGTTGGTAACTTACCTTGAGCTGTTGTGAGTAACTGTTTAGCTGCTCCTGTCATATCAAAGTCATGACGCTGCACATTAAACACAGGACGTTTCTGAACGAAGGCTGCTCCTGCCACATCATGCTCAGGACCCAAATGGGCGATAAGGTCAACGAGAGGGTCGAGATAGAGTGGCAACTTCCAAACACGCTCTTTTCCGTCAACGGTTTTTCGATTCGATTTCTGAAAATTTCCAAAGTAGATGCAAAATTAGGCACTCCTTCAACAAATTAGTGGAGGCAAACATTAACGCCCATTAAAGTAATGCTTGAATCTTTTGGTAATGCCACTAAGTAAAACAACAAAAGAAAAAAATAAGAAAAATGTACCTCTTTGACATGTTTCAGATATTTTTTCACTTTCTTCACTTCATTCCTGATCTTCTCTTCGATTTGATCCTTGGTGCGCACTGCATAACCCAATGATGAGATTTCTTTCGTCCATACTTTCAGTAGCCGCTGTTTATCACTAACTATGTTCTTACCACCTAGAAAAATCCAAATTTCCTTTTTACCAAACGATACAAGTCAACATACATTTAGTTTTTCCATGATAATGATCGTAATTCTCGCAGTAAAGGGCGACTAGCCTACCCGCTTCTATTTCGTTGAAAGGTGGTGCTTTCTTCTTGGGCCACTCATCCATATACTTTGCAGGCATCCTTAAATACATAATACAACTTACAGAAGCTAGGCAAACAACGGTTAGGCGAAAACCAGAAGGAAGAGAAGCAGGGTAAGTCGATACGTGCACAACAGCCGTAATACGAGAAGCGCTGCGGCAATACGTAACCACACAAGATGGTATCTATAGGCGTGGCGGTAGGCAGACGGATACTGATGAGTTGAGTTACCTAGATAGTAAAGTTTTTGCGGACTCTGGCTTTCGGAAGGGAAAACTTCAACTTGGAA